AATCTTGTGAATGAACGCATGAATGGAGATTTAATCTTCATTTAAGATACGCTGAATAGACGGTACATTATTATTTCATGTGCAGCGAAGTTTTTGACATTTCATTTCTTACTTATCTTACATATATACGATTATTATATAGCAGAAATTACATCTTCGCATCTTCTTTTAATAAATTTCCAGAAATTATTGGATCGATTAGGTTCTATAAATAAAAAACTGACAGTAAAATAAGATATAAAAATTTTTAATAAGAAAGTACAATACTAACGTATACTTCGCATTTTTATATTATTCTGTCGCAGTATACAGCGAAAGTCATGTTACCTACATTAAAATGATGTAAACTTTCCATTTTTATATTAATGTCACAGTATGCAGGAAGTTGTGTTATCCACGTTGATACATTAAAAAATATGCCTTCAAATTATTCCTTTATAACTATGTATTTTATAAAATAATGGGTAAGAAGTAATAATCGGTGAAACATTCATACAAACGTAATAATGCCTTCGTACGAATCTTACATAAATCAGAAGAAAATTTCTTATTACAAGTTCCGTTACTTTCTCTTTTCGAGAGACTTTTTTGAAGATAATGAAATTATTATTTATTAATTATTTTCTCAGAAACTAGAAGCTATGAATTTTTATTTATTTTGCAAAGTTATCGTTGCTAGCTGGAAAATAACTTTACCGAAAGTTCCATATACTTGATCAGTCTTTCAGCAATATGTGTACATCGCAAAAATGCAATCGACGTGACCGCACACAGACCGATTCGATTCTATTATTATAAGAATCAAGTTCCGCACGATGAGACGACGTAATAAGTACATCCAGGACTGATATTTGTGCGTGTATATGTACGTCAAAGCTTCTTTTTGCCAAGATTTTGCAAAACCTTTTGCTGGAACGATGCGTTGATCGTCGGATTTACATGCACATGCGTCTCTCTTTACGCAATAGCAAATAAAACATAATTCTATGAGAAGTATCGAGTCAGTCACGCTATACGTGTCATCGTGCGTTACGCAGTTTGTAGCATTTTTTGCGAGAAATTCCGGATACCAAACGCCACTACACTTAAATTATCTCATGCTCGAATATAGCTCATCGCGGATCGTTTAGTTACATTAATTGTGTTCAGTAAAGTAAATTTTTGTAATTTTTTACATTTAAAATATAATTATTGTTCTTACTTTTATCTTAGAAATTTTGAAAAATAATCATGGAATAATTATTTATCGTTAAGTTTTTTTTTTTTAAGAATTGCAAGCGTCAATGTATTTCTTATCATTGCAGATAAAAGCTATTATGTTTATAAATTAATTGAAATTGAAAATACAATAAATTTTAGTAAATGCATTGTAAGTAAAATAAAAATCCTTTAAACAGTTATTAATAATAACTGTTTAAATATTTAAATTTATTAATGTATTATTGTTACAATTATAATTATATCCGTATAAGTCTGTGCGTTTAATTTAATATCAAATTTTCTTCTTACAGATATTCTTGTACTGTATCGCACTTTGGTGCGTAATAAATGATGGAAAAGCTGCAAGAACCGCAGTCAGTAAGCATGAAATGTTTCTTCTCAAAATTTATTCAAATTTATTAGTTAAAAACAAATTAAAGTTTATTAATTATAAATATCTTATCATTTACAAAAAAATGTTGAGTATATGATAGTATATAACGTGACATTTGATATTTGTATGTAAATAACCACAAACTCTACATTTGTACGCAAATAATCTAACAATTTATTTAAATAATCATTTTTAGACAATTAAAAATGTTGAGTTTGAAAAACAATATATTCTAATAATTATTGTTATACAGACCAAAATTCAGACGAAGAGATATGTAAAAAAACGTATTTCTGAAAGCTATTATTTATTAATAGTAAGTTATAGTTTACGGAAAGTTTCTTATTAAGTTATTTGTAAAGATCATTAATAAATAAAAGATTATTTAACGAAAGAAAGAAATTAGAATTTCAATGCGTTTTTATTAAATTTAGAACTTTCTTTATTTTAATTATTATTCTCTTTACACAGGTCCGGATATCCTAACAAACTTCGCTAAAAATGTAGCTTCAGTATTATCGCCGGTCATCTTACGCGACGTGCAATCCCGCAATAATCGATCGTCCTTCCAATCAACCCTGTCGGTATCCGCCAACCTGAATGACGACTTGAATTTACATTCAATCTTGAATAATATAGTCGATCCAAAAACATCAAACGCGGCTACCTATTACGGACCACGCTCTTATCCTTACAATAAACTGTACGAGGATTCTCCGGAAGAACTTGAGGGATCCGAAACGAATGAACGATTCGATGGATCTCGACGAGATGGTTCCTACCTACGCCAAGAACAATCGAATTTTTACAAACCTTACGATTTGTCTACAGGCAACGATAATCTTGACGCAACTCGAAAATCGAGCGACAATGTCGATTCATCAATCGGTCGTATTCAGGAATCGTCCACCAATTTATATCCTTCTTATCACGGCAGTGGTTTTCCCAAGGCAGCCTTCCCCCATGGACCTTTCTTGGATAAACCCTACGGAGGTTTCTACGGTGGTTTTGGACCATACGGACACCATCACCACCATCATCATCATCATCATCCATATGGAGATGGATCTTCGGAAGAGGCGGGCACGGAGGAGAACGCACGATTGGGGAACAGAACCAATTACGGAGATTATGGTTCGTCTTACGGTGGTTACGGCCATCATCATCCCTACTCCCCATTTCCCTATGATGGATACGGTCATCATGACTTCTATGGACCATATCAGAGAAATGGAAATGATTCTTCTAGAAACGGACACTATGGACATCACGGTTACGGGCCTTACGGCGGACCCGATTTCTATGGACACGGTGGTTACAATCACGGTGATTACGGTTATGGCAATAATAATGACAACAATAATGGCAACAATAATAATAATAACAACAGACAAACCGAAGAACCGGCTGAGAATGGTGACCAGAATAACTCGACAAAAAACGGATACTCGCCTCCTTATGGGCCCCCTTGGGTCAAGCCATTACTGGGGATTTTTCACCCCCACGATTTCCCCCTCCTGCCGTACGACCACTTCCATGGATTCAAGGGCGGCCCTGTGGTCGGGGTTGGCCACGTTGGCTATCCAATATATGCCGATCCGTATCTAGTTGGATTCCCATTCCATCATCCTTACGGGCCTTTCATTCACGGTAAGAAATATCTCCCGCCGAAAGGCAAACCCGCTGATTCAGGTGAATCGGCCGAGACAACGGAAGCACCCGCTGAACTTATGGAGAATGAAGCTCCCGAACGAATCACCGCGCTCCATGACGAAGAGGTAGCACCGGCTCCAAGTTCGAATCGATACAAGACAACGCCAACGGGACGAAAGGAATTGAAGCAGTTCAAATTGGTTAATTTCGAGATTCGGAGAGTCTGATTTCCTAAAATATTAATCCTAAACTTGACAGAAGAAAATAAAATTAAAATTACAATATATTATAGTAAAAGACATGAAGAAAGTGCGATGTAATATGAAAAACGATGTAATATTTTCAAAGTATTATCTTCTTAAAAATCTTTTTAGGAGGCATTCTGCTTGTAAAATAGAAAATTTAAGAAATAATAAATTGGAGAAAATATTGGATATATAATTTTAAGTGCGCACGAAAGACTCGTATAAGCTTAAAATTTACGAGAAATATGTTAAAGTTAATAATGTATTTATATATTTTAAGAGTAGCTTATGTAGGAACTTCTTCAACCTTTTAAGTTTTAAGAAACGTGTATTATTAGTTAGTTACTGATTGTTATTAATTATGTATCTCATTAAAAATAAATTATAAAACTAACACGTATGCAGAAAGATGTTATAAAATCTGATTGTTGCAGATATACGGCGTTATTACCTTTGATAAAAAAGATAAGTCAATAATTAATAGGCTCACTAATTACAGACGCTGCGCGACACGTACATTCGTACTTATCATCGGTTTTCATTACGACGTTCTCAGGATTATGATATAGAATATGTTCTCATAATTATGGTTGTCGGCCTTTATATACACAATTATTCTTTGTTTCTAACAATAATGTATGTAGCGTGCATGGTCCAGTAATTTTCGTGGCCTCCATATGATTTTGCATATATGTCGCGTCAATGACGATACGAAACGCGATTATGCAAGACACGCAAAGTAGAGACATTTAATTTTCATGCAATTAGTTGTATACGTGTCTTGCGTGAAAAGAAAGCCGTTAGCAAGACATACATAGTGAAAAACATTTTGTGTTTGTATTAAAATCGATAGTTGTTAAATTTTTACATTGAATTTTTAACATATCCGAGTGTTAATTTAACGTAAAGTGATTGTGTGTCATTTGAATATTTTGCGATAACTTAACGTTGTTAACTTGATGTTGCTATTCAACATTGTTTAATAAAATAACACAATTTGAATATAAGTGAACATGCTAATTTGTTTTTTAACAATATTTCTTAAATAAAAGCTAGAAATAGAAATATAAATATATATTGAAAAATGTCGCTTATTAGATAATATAACAGTTTTTATAATACTATTTGTAATTTTGCAATAATTAACTTTTTTTGTAAAATAAGCAAAAATGAGAGTCTGATAAAATGGGTCCCAAATTGACACAATATGGGCAGTAATGTCACACATTCTAATTCTTTTTCATTCAGAAAGTCATCTATACAAAATTACCTACAAATGAATGTATATAAGATTTTCTAGAATCATTTAAGAATTTGAAGCACACGACCGTATGTGTGAATACAAATATGATAAAGAAAATCATGATCGGTTAAAGTTGGATGTTTTACATAATACATTATAAATATTCTTATATTAAATTAATTTATTTTAGATATGATTGAGAGCCGAAAAACTTTCGATTCTAATTTAGGAGGGATTATTAGCGTTTCAGAATAATTGTATTAAAACCGAAAATTTTTCGGCTCTCAATCATATCTGAAATAAATTAATTTAATATAAGAATATTTAATGTATTATGTAAAACATCCAACTTTGATCGATCTTGGCTTTCTTTATCGTATTTGATTTTCTAGAATCTTTTTACTTTGATATAAAGTATTTTCTTGTTAATTTATATGGATATTTTATGCTTCCGTAACACAACATATAACGAGGCAGTTTTTTTTTTGGAGGATTTTCCTATATAAATACAAGCTCGCCTTCAGCTCCGATAGGATTATTTAACTCTATAACGCAACACTATATGAAGATTAAGTTAGCTTATGGTCTGTCTTATAAACATATATGTCGGTTTTTACGCTGCACTCTAATTTTATATTTTATATTACAAGAAAAATAAGAAAAAAAAAAGTATAAAAATAGAACAGATTTGGGAAACTACAAATGGTATAATATTATTAATATTATTATTAATATTATTATTAATATTTACTATTATTTAAACTACAATTTATGAAAAAAAAAATCAGAATAATTTTACTTTCACATTAATAGAATTCGATTTTAGATGATATTTATAAAAAAAAATCACAAATATATGAGAATTATGAGTTTTTATTTCTTTAATCATTTAAACATATCATGTTCTTATCAGTATTAATAAAGTACAATATTCAATGATATCTCTTTAAGATACCATTGAATATTGTACTTTATTAATCACTACCGTAACTTTCTTTTAATAATTATAATATTGCAGCATGTTCAATATTTTTATTTTAATATATTAATTGTTTAATGTAGCAGTTTTTGTTAGTTAAAATTAGTTATTTCAGATTTAAAAAAAATTTTTTTTATATTCCCCATATGACTGCAGGAAGTTCATAAAAGTAGATTATTATAGCACTTAATTCAAGGTAAATGCATAACAATTTACGTAACACGTAAGAAATCCTTCGCTATTCTGGATATCGATTGTAGATCCGATCTCGTTTGCTGAGAACAGAAATAAATCGGTGATGGAAAATCGACCGTGAAGGTAAATATAACAAAGAAAATCGTATTTCCGATAAAAACAAAGATAATCGAGACAATATTCATACTGGATTATGTTTTAATCGACGGAAGTATAGCTGTTAATTACATTCTCATTAATTCTGTAAGGATGGAATATTGAAATAGTGGAATTTTTATATGTTATTAACTGAAGAAGAGAAGAAGAGAAAAAGTAAAATTACTTAAAATTTTTAATATATATTAATATGCATTTAACAGCAGTTTAACTATTTTTTTGTAAAATATCAAAATATTAATATGTATAATACTTGAAATATTTACATTTAGGTAACTTTCTACAAAAGAATGACTAGAATTAGAATTACTCAATATGATACATCAACATCTTCTGTTAACCACGTCATTATTATGCGAAACTGTGATTATGCAAACTGTATATTACAATGTATTTTGCTGAAACATGATTGATAAGACGGCTCAAAAGATACATCGCATTTGATAAAAATAGATTCAGGAATACAAGAGAAAGACAGAATTCTCGAGAAATTAAGACTCTGCTGAATTAATCAATTCTATGTTACATGTTAAATTGATGAAGCTAATTCATATATCGTGTATCCCTCCCCCCTCCCCTGTACGAAGCAATCTATCATTGTAATTTGTAACATCATTCTATTAATGATGATTTTCATATATATTAATATTCTGTGTACACTTAATTTTCAAAACGCTTAATCGATCTAGTTCTGGCATCTCTAATGAGGTATCATATAGGTAATAAATTTCTCGAGGCTCTTCATTTTCAATATCTAAATTATGCCTTCTTCCATCGAATGTCGCTAAGAATGTCGCCACGAAATTGACAAATCAGACACACACATCTCAAACGCGCGGACGTCTATCAACATAATTTCACATTTTGTAACAGAATCCCGGATTACGTAATTGTCGACCGGTATAAGTGTCGTCTATCGCTTCTTTCTGTTTCGGTTACGATACTCGGGAGAAGACCGTTTCCTCCTTCGAGCCTGCCGCTAGGATTCACCGACGAACCCAGGAATTAATGTTCGACGATAAGCGATTAGCGATCAGCGATTACAGCAGCGGCATTAAGTATCGCAATCGGTTGCGACGTATGATTCTCTCCTGTTGTAATGAGGGGTTTACGGCACCGCGGACACACGCGAGCAATCGCGTCGAAGAAGAAATTTGGATGTCAAGGCGCCCATCGGGCGTGGACTAATGCGACCCCGTCACAGGTGCGTTACCGCACATCGCCGCGTCTTTCGCGGTTCTTTCATAATGCAAAATCGCAATTCGCATAATCCCAGGGTAACAATGAAGTTTCCTATTAGCACAACAGGCGGAGGCCAGAGCGGGACCTGGAAAAACGTACCGCTCTCGTGGGGGGTCCACCGCGCCTTACGAAGGGACCCCGCCTTTCTTATAAAAGCACTTGTGTCGCAGAAACGATAAACAGTGGTGTTCGACAACGACAGATGAGAAAAAATCGGTGCGATTGTTAGTACGGCGTCAGTTGAGCCACAAACAACAATCGCAAATACGAGAAAGAATGGCGTGCCTGAAGATCGTAAGTGCGACAAAGTTGAATCAAAAATTGTTCTAGAAGTCAAGTAATTTAACTTATTGCGACATTATTCTTTCGCTAATCATAAAATACTACACGATGAAGTTTGTAATAATGTATTTTTTAGTATGAATTTGCTATGAAATTTAGGCATTATGCAATGGCAATATATCAGTTATTAAAGTGAAATTTACTTTATTATTATCACCCACACAAGTAAAATCATGCATATGCAATGGCGTCACTATCATGCCATTAATTTGGATAAACTTTTTACAATCACTGTTACGTATGTTTCTAAAATCCTTTCTACATTATAAAAAATAAAGATAAAATTAATACTTGACTGTCTCAACTTTTTCATTTCTAATTTTAATTTAATTTCCTTAATTTTAATTTTAATTGTCTTAAGTAAATTAATCCCCATTCTCATCTTTTATTCGCTTTACAGTACCTTGTTCTGCTCTTGGCCGTCGCAATCGGCGTGGCTGTTGCAAAACCGGGATACTTAGGATACGGATATGGTTATTATCCATATCACTACGGATATAGATTCCCGTTCTATGGAGGATATGGAGGATATGGACATGGGTATGGAGGATACGGTCATGGATATGGACATGGATATGGACATGGCTATGGATTTGGTAGGATTTATAAGATTTATAGAATCTGTTCTGCAAAATTTATATGTATAGAATTTATAAGTTACCTCTCATAGAATCGCATTTCCTCATAGATTCATATTTTTTAATTTTTTAATATAACTATTAATTTTAATACTTAAATTAATTCTTTGTAATTATTTACTCTGTAATTATTTAACGTAATATTTTACTATAACAATTTACTGTTTGTTGTAATAAAATATTATAAAATTATATTATGTAAAATAAAAAGGGTAATTGAGAATTAGTGCTGCAGGCAGTTATTTATAAAAACATTAATCGTAACAACTAAATTGCATTTCTCTGTAAAAATATACATAAATTTATAAAAATATAGAAAAGTAAGTTACTCATGGTGAAATAATACATAAGTTTTATACATAATTATCTAGAACAATTTTTTATATTACACAAGTTCTATATCACGCAAACAATGCAAAACAACTTACTCACGCATGCTAATTTCATAACAAAGAAATCTTTCAAATATACACATTCGCATTCCCGAACAAAAGGATCGTTTACACGGATATGTTAAAGTATTTTTTCATTGTTGTTTAGGATATCCATTCTACGGTGGTTACGGTCATTATGGTGGTTACGGTCATGGTTATGGCTACCATGGTTAAGGTGGATACAAAACACAGCTTTCTTCTGGATTCTCTTTGAAATACTGTCTGAAGAGTGAGCTCAGTACAAAGATGATCTACATCGTTTTCTCTCCATTGTATCTTTTTGTTACCAGGATTCATCCAACGCCACAAATAATATAACTGTCCACGTAACGCTTGTGTTACATTGTTCACGCAATCTATCTACGGCAAAATTTTAAGAAAATAAGAACAAAATTCTTTAAAAAATAAAACTACAGTATTACAAAAAAGATATTTATATGTTATAAATATAATGCTATCAGATATGATTACATATAGATATAAAATAAATTATGCGTATTATCAAAAATATTAAATCTTACTAATGTTGTTTTCAGAAATCATAAGTGATCTTAAAAATATTAAATTTTATTAATATTGATTAATAAACAAAAATTTTAAGAAATTTTAAGTAGTAATGGTTTACCAGTAATTATTGTTATAACAACTGTAATATTACTGACAAGATAAATGAATAAATTGATAACTTAATATGATTCGAAATTTGAAAGAATTCAATTCAATAATCTGTTTCTTTGAAATGATCTTTTTTCGCTTTTAAAGATACGAAAGACAATGTCTTTGTCAGTCGAGCAGATCATCTTTCCGTATAAACGTTTATGCAAAATGCGACAGGTGTGACCAGTACGATCATGAAGTTCCGAGTGCTCTCAAAGAGGAAGAACACGTATCCGCCTACGCATAGTTATTGAAATCACGCGAGATGTCTACGATACAAAGCTCTTTGTCTTCCTATTATTACAGGCCGCAATGGTCACACCTATATTCTTTTCTGTCATCTTCTTCTTCTTCTTCTTACGTCACGCTTACGACAGCTGAGAACTGACCGTGTAACACCGCACGCTTTATCGTGCCTGCGGCTGCTCTTTCAGTACCTTTGATATTTCGGAGGAATAAATCCGTGTCGCGAATCATGTTCATATTTTTCGTTCGACGATTCGTATTTGTTCGTAAGAGAAATGATGTTGCAAAATATTATAAAATATTTGCGATCTAATCAAAATTTATATTGTGATTCTGTCAACGATTTATACTATTTACTATTAAACATTAATTAACTATATTAATTTATTCATTAACTACACTGTGAAATTATCAATACACAGATAAATCTGATAAATAAAATATAACTAATTGACGATTTTAATTGAATATGAAATAGATCCTTTGTTGCAGAACCAGTAGTTATTTTTTATGCATGATATGAAAAGATTGATAAAGTTTGCTCTATAAAAAAATAACATTTGTAACAAATATTGTCTTGGTCATAAATATAAAGTAATTAAATAAATTGACATCAACGTTTCAGGTCTAACAAAAAAATAAATTAAAATACAACTTTATTAAAAAATAATATTCATATTTTTTTTAGTCCTTTTTTATTACCGCCTTTTCTAAGAAAGTGCAATAAATTGAGAGTGCTTTATACAATGTTTAACCAACGTAAATTTTTTGTAATAAAAATAGCTGCAGTTCCATTAATAATATAACAGTTTAATTAAGCATTTGTAATTAGTTCTAAAGACAACTGATAAATTCAGAATTCAGATAATAAATGCGATAATAAATAATATTGATACTATTTCGGGAATTAAGTGCCAAGTGTTTGTCGAGCGATATTCTAATCGTGGGAAGTGACTTATAACATTCTCCATTCTACGTCAAGGACGTAGTGAAGATTATCGAATTTCAAGTATAAAAAGCGAAACCTGCTGTCTTGGAA